AGCTCACCTTTTGTTGCTTTTTACGCTTATTTTCATCAAATTGTTTGAAGCGTCGCTCTGCATGTTGGTTTTGTGTCTCGGCATCGACTGTGAATGCATCTGGCAATTTTATTCCAAATAGTTCATAATGACCTAAATACATGTACGATGAAAATTGAATATTAGATTCAAAGTTATATAAAAAAAAAATGTGATTCACTGTAAACATACCGCGAAGTCGAATATTTCGACCGGCATTAGTGTCTCGATTCAATGTAACCGAACGGACTTTTGTCGTATCACCAATATCATCATCATTTCGTATGTATTTCCATGCGATGACATCTAGGCGCCGACGTCGCAAATGTGTTCGTGGCCTCTTCACTATCTCAGCATTTTCAGCACCCGGCACAAGCAGTCCATCGACCATATTGAAGCGTTTCAGTTCGACTTTTGGCTGGGGGTCATCTTCGTTCGAATACCGTGGTCGATATTTTTTCTGCTTCTTCAATTGTTTCGAATTCTTGTGGCTGTAAATGAATGAACCACCATCGGGCAGTGCTTCTGGCGATGGTTTACACTTGCGACACACTTTGAACCGAGATTTTGTTGTCTTTCGGCCATTCTTCGAACCATTTTCCAGTACATTGAAGCAGCGGCTACATAATTTTGTTGTTCGATATTCATCCACGTAGCGCACGGTACATTGTGGATGTTGTTCGAGTGCTTTGAATAGCAAACGAACACTGGTACGTACATAACCTTTGCATGGTGAATTTGCATGGGTGAACGGCGCCTTGCCAACAAACACAAATGTATGTTTACCATGCCCTTGTGCGACAATCATTCGCACCAATTCACCAATCGTTCGATGGATTTCAATCCAATGCAAAAAATTAGTCAGTACATACGCTTCGCTGCCGTACACATCCATGGCCCGATTGAAAAATCTTAACGTATGGTCGGCGTACGTTTCAAAATCATTCGTTCTGCTGCTCGGCTGTACATGGTTCTCACACTCTCGTTCGATGCGCTCACGATCGTCGGCCCTGTCGTCTTCAAGCGTACCAACCAGTCGATCTCGTTGTTTCTTGAACTGTGGCAATTTCGTCATCCAATGATATTGCTTGCTGGATATTTTGAAATTGCGTACGCTTTTCACTTTCACAGCGCCCGTATCATCTTTCTCTCGATCGATAATTTGGCCGGCGATGATCTCACGGTCGCCAACATCAAAGCTTACTTGCGATCGCAGTGGCGTAATATATTTCGTAGCCGTTCTTTGGTTTCAGCATCACTTTCATCGTTTTTCTTCTTCGTCTTCTTCTCTTTGTTCATCAGAAAAACGAATGCATTGCCATCGGTTTGTATTCGATTGGCGAATGTTAAGCCGGCCGAATGGCGTTCGATTTTACTGATGCCAAAGTATTTACGCCACATGCGATCTCACAGTTCTTTGTTGCTATTGAACGG